AGAATCACAGAATGTGAATTTGAATCAGTATTGTTAATAACTGAGTGTGATCCTTGATTTATTTCCGAGGACGATCCTTGACCGTGTGTTATATCCCTTAAGCAGAACTGTCTTATTGCTTGAATTAGACTTAATTATTGCTAGAATTAGACTGTTTCTTAATTTCCCTAAACACCGTTTAAGCCGTTGATAATGAATAATACGTTCCTCACTTCTGCATCATTAATCGGTTATAATCAGCTTTCGTAGAAAAGTATTCAAGTAACTAATCTAGGACTCTTCTATTACTTGTAGAAATATTTCTTATTTTATGATGATCTTTGCATTTTAGCTTAGCTTACACATTAATCAATAGACATAAAACAGGAAATAAACAAGTACAGGAATTATATTATAATCAGATTTCCCAGCTTCTACGTTACGGACAAAACTCTTCTATTGTATTAAAATCTGTTGGTATTCGGCTTTTAGAAAATTTATAGTTATTATGCAAGACAGAGCACCATGGTTTCGACAAAAATAATCCACATCAGCTCTACCTATTTTATTTCGGGTTGTGTTTGCAAAGCAAGTTATAAAATTGCAAATATCACACAACATTGATACTTCAGACAATTAATGAAATGTTCATAGAGCATTCAAAATTAATTATCCATGAAGGAAGGCAAGCTCGTATACTTCACTTTAGAGAAGCTGCTAGCATGATAATATTTCCGAAATAATAATTCTAAATTATAAGCTCTTGACTGTGATTTGACTTCAAAGGAATTTGAAAAGCTCTGTCTATCTACTTCCAATTGTTCTTCAGTTCGTCTCAAACAAATTAAACAGCCTTTTAGACTCTCCATGTAGCGCCTGTTTGTAATTCTCGTTGCATCGTTCACAATTCTGCAAATACTTGAGTATCTAATAATGTTTCCCTCTTTTCACAGTAAAGCCGCTCACCTTCTGCTTACGCTAGAATATTTAATAATTATCGTGCAAATTTTCTCTGTTTTCGTAGCCAAGCCAAATTTCGTTGATAATTTTCAGAGAAACCATGCATAATACATGAATAGCTTCTTTTGATGAAATATTTCTAAGAACATACTTTTAGATAGATGTAAGGATGGATATGTAAGGTTCCATTAGTTTGAATAATTTGTATTGTCACTTTTATCTTCCTATTCCCGCCAGAATGCAAAGTAGTTAGCGTGTATTTAAGTGAGGTTTTGATTTTTCTAACACAGAGAGTGTTTTGCCACTCGTGGCAGGATACAAGGTTTGCTATGTCAGATCAGAGTTTCCTCTCTTCAGCCTCACATTATAATTGCCGATAGTTGAAATCCCCGCAGGTGAGTTTCTGAGCCAACTTCGCGTTAAACTGCTCTGTGTAGTCTTTGGCTATTATATTATTTAAATTTAAACTTCACATTTCACTTTGACACTTTGAACATCTCGCCATAAATGCTGTCGGAATTAATCGTAAGCATCAGAACTGTTTTAAATAAAGGTCTCCTTTTACACCCTTTCAACATTTCTGTAATACATTTAGATTTAGAAATAAGTCACTTAACATCTACATAGAGTTTAACATTGGATATGTCAGGAGAGTTAAACTTTGCACCCAAGAGAGTTAAACTTTATACCTTAAGTTATACTTCGAAAGGGAATGAAAACTTGCAAGTGATATAACCCTGTACTTTAATTTTAGCGATATTTGAACAAAAAAAAAATATTTCCAGAAATAATTTGAAACAAAACGTGTAATATATCAACTAATAAATAGCGAGAAAAAGGAACTCTTTAATCCTACTAAATTTATTAATAAAAGTTTAATCCTACTAAATTTATTAAACTTTCCTATTAACTTTTATTAACTTTTATTAAACATTTTTATTATTTATTACTAAATTTATCTATATATTATTATTAAATCTACTAATATATTTTGATATTTTTTCGAAATAAAAAAATCTTATAGAAGCCAATAGTTAGTTTTAGTAAAATACTATTTCAGTTTAAAAAACGAAGTGATGATTTTATTGAAAAATGATATATCTCAGAACATCTAAATAATGAGGCTCTATTACTGAGGTAAACGGTAAATGTCTTTAAAAACATCTTCTATTAACAAACCAATGGTGATAAATATTAATTCATAGTGCTTGTTCATGAAAAATATCAAGGTATTATTTAAGAAATATCCAATAATTTTAAATGGTTCTTTTTCAATATGTTTGTAACAGTGCACGTATTATAAACTGGAAAATAATTACACAATCTTGCTACCAATTTAATGCTTGGAATCTCATTACTTGGAATAATAGTATATAATATATTCCATTACTTGAAATGGCAACACGCTACAAAATGCACTCGTAATGTATCCAAAAAGAACTAAAAGTAAACGATATCTAAGCATAACAGCAGAAAAATATGCCTGTATATATTATTCTGCCTTTCATGAGCAATGGGCTACGTTCGTGACACCTTTGATAAATTGTAAATGCTGTCGTGAGTGTTTTCCTTAATTTCACTGGCCTGCTGTGGAAATGCTCCCAGAGCTGGGAAAAAGCTATTGAAAGCCGAGCCATGTTGGTGGCTGAGCTCGGTAACTGTTTCGAAAGTTAGCTATTTTTTCCTGACCGAGTACGTTCTCTTCTTACCGAGTACGTACGATTGAATAGAATTTCTGTGGAGGCGTTAGAGCATGTTCTTCAAAATTATTCTGCTACACGGAAGTTATAACTTTAGCTTAGAAACGTTGTTTGCAAATATTCTGCACGTGTGAAATTTTGTCTCTAGGAAACAAACCACCAGATTAATATATTTTATTTCAATAATTCCCAAATATCAGCTTCGTCACACACATGATTAGGCATATCTCGATTCATTTGCCTATATAGTTACGCTTCAGAAAAAAAAAATCTGGCTAAAAATGGAAAATCAAAATATGGGTTATGTTACAAGCAGGGATATGAGCTCCGATCGAACCATTCTTGTTCAGCCACTTTACTACTCGGTTGTTGGTAAGCCTTAAATCGCAAAAAGGAAGGTGTTGTATATCATAAGAAACAAAATGGTATTGTTACACAATGAATAGTTGTATGATAGGTTTTCTTCAAGGTTCCTTTAAAGTAAGCATTAAAAATCTCAAACTATAAATCACAAACTCGCAAACTATATATTGTCGCATTGTAAGAGATAATATACGAGAACAATTTTAAACTCTTTTATCTAGTGGTACACACCGAACTAAATAAAGCAAAATGGGAAACTTAAACTGCCATTTCCAAAATTAATTACTACGGTCGAGAAGAACTTGTCTCATGCATTATTTATAGCCACAAAACTTATTCAACGTTTTCCACAAAATTAAACATCCTTTACTCTCATTTAAAATACTAAATACTACCGTAGTAAAGGTTTATTCGGAAATAAAGATCTGCATTAACTCAGGAATTTCGAACATCATAGACTTGGTTTTGCATATCTCGAAAAGGAAATGGAATATTTACTCAAACCTCTTTCAGTGAAACTGAGAAACAAACATAAATTGTTTCTAAAAGAAAACTTTTCTTTAAAGACAAATTTCGGTTATTAGCTTTTATAGATTTTAAATCTTTGACTGAATGAATTTGAATGTGTATTTGACTTGAGACGGGAGGGAAGGGGCGAACTTCAACATTTCGGTGTGTACCACTAGATAAAAGAGTATATAATATACTTCGCTGTTAGAGAGCATGCAAATGATTATTCTACAACCATGTGTTATATACGGTATCAGAATGCTATCATCTCTGCAATCTCGACCACGAACAGGATTTCGTTTGGAAACATTTATAAAATCCTTTATTTTCTAATTCAAAAGGTACCATTTTTCTTCTCGCGTACTCTAAAAAAATTGCGTTTCGCTGTTTTAAATTTGCAAACATTTGCTACTGCATATAGCTATTTTATCACATAATCTTTAATTTTTTCTTAAAAGGCTACTCTGTATAGCTCATATACAGACCTAAAGCGAACATAGTTTTAATGCTAAAAGCGTTTGGCTTTGCAAAAATTACAGAAGATATTTCGTTGGTTGGTTTGAATTATTTAATTTACGGCTTTATAATATTCCATTTCTACCTTTTTAACATAGATCAATAAAATATCCTTTCGTTTTGGTATTGTAAGTTCTGCCAATTAGTGGATGAGCAGGTAACACTATCGAAATCTGATCATAGTTCTGCAGTTCAAATCTACATGGATGGGGTCACGGCATGGATATTTTTGTGACATTACTCATCCGTAAAGTAAATGCAAGCCAGTTTTATTGATAAAGTTCTCTGTGAAGGTAATCTTTACCTTACGTTGATAACTGTTTGGACTTTGATCTATTCAAATAAACGAAAACACCTTGTGTGAAGTATGCTCCTTCAAAATTGCTCCACATTTTAAATAAATGTATTTAATTACATTATATTACATAGTACAGTTACATAGCAAATACGCGTTACACAGCTTTTCACACTACATTCTCAAAACCCACGCCAACTCTGCCTCAAACGAAACTTTTTCTCACATAGTTGAGGGGTGCTACACGCCTCTATGGGAGATCTCAATATCCCCACGGATGACCGTCAGGACATCAAACTACCTCTTACATGAAATTATTACTTAACATTATTCTTAGTAAACATATAATTTCTAGATTAAATAGTTCTTGCTTATAATGAGTAACTAAGCCTAAACAACATATAAATGTAAAAAATGAATTACACAAAATTAATAACATAATATGTACAATAACATTAAACTTCAAAATTCAAATGAATATCGATGAATATCAAGTAAGTTCAGATTTTTTTACGATACTTAACTGTCCATTGGTAACACACACATTTGTGAATGGGTCTCTTGGAATTCACTATCAGCAGTTTTTTTACTTTTACAACACCACTCTGTAATCATTACCTGGGTAAATTTCGGTGAGACGTCCCAGTTTCCATTTTAAGGAAGGTGTGTTATCTTTCTTAATGATTACTAAGTCGTTTACCTTTAATATTTGCTGAAGCACGATGCCATTTTGTGCGAACTTGCAGTTGAGTCAAATAGTCCTTAGACCATTTTTCCAGAAGGACTGCGACATTTGCTGAACTAGTTTCCAACGATTGCGAAGTGTTAGAGTCTCTCGCAACATTTGGTTCCGGAATAGCCTTTAATGATGTTCCTATTAAAAAATGACCCGGTGTAATCACGGAAAAATCATCTGGATCACTTGAAATCGCTACTAATGGTCTTGAATTCAGACATGCCTCGACTTCTGCTAGATAAGTAGCAAATTCTTCAAAAATTAGAACTTGAGAACCAATTGCTCTTCTCATATGATATTTCATAGCCTTTACTACGGTTTCCCACAGTCCACCAAAGTGTGGTGCAGAAGGCGGGTTGAAATTCCACTTAATTTCTTCTTCTGTTAAGTATCTAGCTACCCTTTGGTTCGAACGATACGATTTCAGTTGTCTGTTGGCACCTATAAAATTACTGCCGCAATCACTATACATTTCCTTCGGTCTTCCACGTCTAGCAATGAATCGTTTTAGAGCTGCTATGAAGGAATCTGTCGTCATGTCTCCAACTTGTTCTAAATGCACTGCCTTAGCACTAAAACATACGAAAACACAAACGTAGATCTTCATTATCCGAACACCGCGCCCTTTCCTCGGCTTAACTTAGAAAGGACCCGAAAAATCAACACCACATTTCGAAAAAGCTCTTGCGGGATTCACTCTGGATGCTGGAGATCGTCCATTGCTTGATATGACAGCTCGCTTCTGTGCTACAGCATGTTACCAGATTTACAATTCTTGCGAATGGCTGCTCGTGCATTAACATCCAGTATCTCTGCTTGATTTCTGAATGGAGCATTTGTGCCCTCCGTGAAGATATTTATAGTGATAATATCGTATTATCAGTTCTGTAATATAGTGTGATTCAGGCAGAATGACTGGATATTTTACATTCTGTGCGATGGACGCATCGCAAAATACGTGTATTTCCATTTTTGGATTTAAGTTATCACCACACACAAATTTCTCGGAACTGAAATATCCTTCAGATATTTAACCTCAGAACACCAGCTAGTCCACTTGATTTTAAGGTCATCTGGCAATTTCTCATCCCAACCAATACCACGTTCCCAAATTTCCTGTAGCAACACTTAATCTTAACTACAAATGGAGCTCAAACCAATTGGAGCAAAATCATTGCTGCAACATGCAAGACATAACGCTTTGTGCTCTTCAAACTCTTTAAACTCTCCATTAATTTTGCTATATCTATAGAAAATTTATCATTTACTGGGTTACAGTTCAAGTCTAAAACCTTCAACTGACAATCAGAAGTACAAGTATCATCGCTAAATCCATTCTGCATCCACAATGACCTCAGTTTCTCAGAATTAGTTTTTAATTTTCGCAAAATCATACTTGCATCCTTTAAAATCGACACAGCTTCAGAAGACAGCTTAAATGCCTCTTCAACACTATTTCCCCCAAAATATAAATCATCTACATACAGTGAAGAGTTTAACATTTCAACACATTCGGGTTTATTATTCCTGTACTGTTTTAAGAGTGCTTTTTTATTGTTGCACTTAAAATAAATGGCGATGACTTATACAACCAAACGGCAAACGTGTCATACGCATATATCTGTAGTCTTCATTTGTATTTTCTGATAACCACAAGAACTTTAAAAAATTTTCCTATCCTCTTCTGAAATTCCAATCATCAAAAATGCTTTCTCTATATCAGCACAAAATGCAATTTTGAATTTCCTAAAATTTAAAATAATATCCAGTACATTGGGATTCAAATTCGGCGCAGTCTCTAAATAATCATTCAAAGAAGAGATTTATTTTCACTTTCGAACTACAATTGAAAAACCACGCGAACTTTAATAGTATCCTTATCGGTTTCTCACAACTGCTCTATGTGGCATGAAATGTTCCCTTCGTATCCCTTAGAACATTCTTCAATTAATTCCTTTACACTGTTGATCTTTAATTATGCCCTTGTATTCATTCGCCAACCATTCATTACTTTCGAATTTTTTTTTAAGTCAAGTCTTTTTTTAGCAAGACAATAAGTCATTTTTTAAATCCGTTGGATTTCATTCCGCATAACAAACAAGTTTCGTATCTTCCATCTACAAACCTCAGATTATCTTCAAATTGTTTTATCAAATTCTCATCTGCAATTGATAACTTATAAGAATCGGTAATTCCTAACGATTCTAAATTCCATAGTATCTGCATATCAGTGCCAACGCAAAAATTTGTTGATACTATGTTTCCCAAAATTTTATCCTTAGAATTTTTTGTATGCCCTGGAGTGTAAGGCCAAAAATAGTTTGTATGCAGTTTAGCTTTTGGTTATTTTTTTCTACTTTCGATCTTTAATGACGTCCCAAAATAATCTGCTCCTATTAAAATGTGAATACCTTCATCTGAATCCATGCATGCCTCAGCTAAATTAAAACCCTTTTGCTCAAAAATATTTTGAATATTTATATTGGAAAATGCAAGGGGTGCGGCAGTAATCATTTCAAACTAATGCTTCTATCTCAATATTTTCTTAGGATCGTTCCTATTTCTCAATGTTAATTTTACTACACTGTAAGTTTTATTTATGGCTTTCGTAGACCCAAAAGCAAAGCATAAACTGACAATTTTTCCTTTCGAATAGTTTTAAGGCTAAGGGCATCTGCCGAAGATTTTGTTATCCAAGATCTTTCACTCCCGTTATCCATTAACACCCGACATAGTTTAAAGTTTCCTTTCGAACAAGCCAGAATGGTACAAGTTTGCAGTAAAGCACTGTCTATTTGACCCACCGATGAGAGGAGCTACATTGAGTCACCGCGTTTGAATTCCCTTCTTCCCTCTTTCGACTTCAGCTGATTTATTGCTATTTTCGCATAGCAAGGAGTGGTGAGCTAAGCTGTTGCAGTTCTTGCATTTGGATGGAGTTTAGTTTTACAGAATCGTGCTAAATGGAATTTTGAGAAACCAGCGAAAACATTAGATTATCAACTTTTTGATCTTATTTTTCCTTTCCTGCAACACTTTCAAATTCGCAAAATTCATGTATTCTTTGCTATTACAAAATATGCAGCTTCTTTTAACATTTTGTAGTATAACTAGCAGTTTATATATTCCGATTATTATTAAGACTTTTTATTTTCAAATTTCCTAGAATTACTTTTATATTCATTACCAAAATTACGATAATTTTCACTTGTTCTGCTAAATGTCTACTGTCTCTATGTCCTGTCTCTATGTCCTTTCCCTAGACCGTATCTCTTCGTCTAAAAAGGTAAATAAATCCTTAAAATTCCAATCACTATCTGGATACGCTCTATTGAATTCTAAAACAAGTTCCCTTGGAATTCTTTCTAACAAAATTGGAATCAATAAAGTGCTGAAAGATTTTGTTTCAACTCCTAACGACTCTAAACTTCTAATTTGAGTATCAGCTTTGTCAAACAACCTTCTCAATCCAGCTAAATCATTTATACTTCTAATAATAGGAATTTTAAGTAACTCATTCAAATGTGTCTGAATAGGATTATTCTTATTACCAAATGTACCCTTTAATATATCCAAAGCAGCATCATAATTTTCTTCTGTTAACGCGAAACCACTTATACAATTAAATGCCGTACCCCCTAAATATGACCTTAAATAATTAAATTTATCTATCTTTGTAAGATTACTATTATTATGAATAGCGCTTTCAAACTGGTTATAAAATTCTAACCAAGAAGCAGGATTACCATAATATTTACTGATTATCAATTTATTCCTAAATTGATAATCAGTACTGGTTTGGTTTAACCTGTTTTGGTTTCTCTAAAGATTTGGTTTTCTTAGTAGACCTTGATCAGTTGCAGGAATAGAAAAGGATACGTTATTAATATTCATTTCATCTTTCATTAATCTATCAATTACATTAGTTATCTTTTGTTTCCAGAGGATAATTTTTTTCTGAATATTCCTCTGACACAGTAATTTCCTCTTCTATATCATCACAATTACAAAGATTTTTCACTTCATCGTTTAATAGTTTTAAATTAGTTTCCTTATTTATTATTTGGGCTCGAAATTCCTTTAAAGTATCTACCTTATTCGTAACATCTATCTCGCTAGAATCTTCATTAATAAAAGCTTCAACTTTGTTAATTAACTTAGTTAACGTAGACCCAACTGCGCTACGCTCCTTTCTCAACTTAGGTAATTCCGACATTTTACAACAATTCAAATTTCAAACAAAACATCAAAACAAAGCCTACCTTCACTTCCTGCAAAATTCCACAAATTCCCAAACAAAGCTTGTTACTAAACCACTAGAATCCACAGCTTCCAAGACCGACTCTGTCCTCACTGGTGGCTCCAAAAAATGTGAAGTATGCTCCTTCAAAATTGCTCCACGTTTTAAATAAATACATTTAATTACATTATATTACATAGTACAGTTACGTAGCAAATACGCGTTACACAGCTTTTCACACTACATTCTCAAAACCCACGCCAACTCTGCCTCAAATCGAAACTTTTTCTCACATAGTTGAGGGGTGCTACAACGCCCTCTATGGGAGATCTCAACACCTTGCGTTGATTTATTTAATTTACTTAACGCTTATTTCAGGTTTAAGAAGCTTTCCTCTCGCTCTTCCTCATACTCATTCATGCCAGAATACAATTTGACTAGCGCGAGTGTTTTCAAATAAGGTAGAAAGAAGTTAGTATTTAAGGGAAGGTTTTTGGAAGCTGCTTTCAGAGCGTGTTCTTCCTCCCTGAAGGCCACGTTGATATCTTTGGTTCTCTAGCTGTTAGAATCATGTAGCATTGAGCTGTTCTTGCCATGGTAAGTTCTTAAACGCTGATTTTCGAGTCAGAGCCAGCTTGCGCAGTGGTTATCCTTTGAAAGCATTAAGCTATACACTCTGAAAGTGCTCTAAAAGTTCAGAGTGTTGAAGTGCACACTCTGAACTGTCACACACACCAGTTCTTCATTTCCCGTTTTATTGTGTCGATTGACCAAATTTAACTTGCTTATTTCATGTTTTGCAAGCGCGACTTAGGATATACATTAGATTTAAATACAGCATTGTTCTAACATAGGTATTTCGGCATACAATTGGACATTTTCTCAAATGACATGCCAGTTATTCCCCACATTTCAATCCTACAACTCAAATTATGCAAAAGTGCCAAGTTTCGTAAAAATCGCACGAGTAGTTTTTAACAAATAACTCTCAGAATTTTAGCTCATCAATGTTAATAGAACTTGGTGTGTATTTATCAATATCTCTTTTTTTATTAAACTTACTTGATTCCTTTTTTCGTAGTTAGAAATTGAAGTTCAATCCATATAAAATTTCCAGCTATTTACTGATTTATTTTTAAATTTTGTAATTTTTAGTAATTTTTATAAATTTTTATAAATTTTTCAAAAACATTTTTGAATTATGACTTATAAATTTTTACATACATCTTAAAATAGATGTATTTCTAGACTTACCTGCAAAATGTAAGAGTTTTTAATTCAAATTTTCTTAAGATATATGTTTAATGAATGAACTACGCTCCTTTTTATCCCTTCGTCCACAATGAGAGGGAAAAGAAAGCAGGTTA